GCAGAGCACCAAATGGGGCTTGAAGACAATGATGGTATAGCAGAATCGAAATCGCCAGCAGCCGCGGACGGCGACAATGTAACTCTAGAAGCCGTGCCGAATGAAGCCATTCCCGAACATGCGTTGACTTCCAGTGGCAGTAATGAGGAACAGGAAGCTGACAGCTCTGGCATTATTGATGGAGAACAGCAAGCAACTACTGGCTTACAAGATATTCGAGTCAATGTTTCTATTCGATTTGCTTCTGGTGCCCAAGTTACTGGTGAAACAGAGACAGAGCCTGTCACAGGCAAGAGTTGTTTATATTCATGCAAATGGAGATATATGTTTACTAGTTCATCCTCAAAGACCGCATTCTTAATAGTTGTTTACCAGTTTGCAGCGTTCAGTAACATATTTACACTTAATACTCCCATGTGTAATATAAACCTTGAGCTGCTCAAGAGCATCTAAAATTTCTTAGCTTTAAATAGGTTCTTGTAGATTCCTTTCAAGTTGTAATAGTTCATATTTTAAAAAATTTACTCAACAACTATCATTAATTAATTATTCTTTTCTGTCCAGCTCTCAACGAGTTTACCGCACATCCGTGGTCCTCTGGCGCGCCAATACCTACTGAGTTCTGTCTAGCGGCTTCAGAGTCCATGCGTCGGGCCAAATTATTCCAGGTGAGATAAGGATATACAGTTGTTTAGCAATTGACTTCTTTTCATATACTAAAGTCTCCAGGCTATTAATTTAAAAGAAGTATGCTAAGTTTCTACTCATTTTTAAAGGAGATTCTCTCGCACTGTACCAGCATCTGCTGCTATCACAAGCTTTATTTATTTTGCCTACTTTATGCATAGTCCGATTGATGCCAATTGTGGGTTCCAAATAAAACGTCTGGTTCCTTACATTTTGTTGTGGCATAAGTATTATATGCTGAGGGCAGTCGTGTTTCGAGGATTCACTTTTCTTACAATTGTTGAGTTCATTTCCGTTTCGAGTGAAACTGCTTGATAAAGAGACTCGAAGGTCGATCCAACAGGAAGATGAATGCGGATTCTTCTTGG